TTTTTATTCGCACATAATAATAAAATGTTGCGGAATCAGCGACGCTGTGAGCCTACCACTGGTTTGCTGAGTATTTACAAAATGGCTAAATGGAAGTATTAAAATCCCATAACGCTAAATCATTTCGCATTAACACGTGCTGCAGGATGAATGAGAGAAGGACGAGGCGCCAAAGGTTTAAACCGGATAATGCCACATGAACCTGCATATTTATTAAATATTGTGAAGCTATATGCAAATGGAGATTCATTTCGCTTTAGGGGGAAATAGGTATTCTCATTCCACTGGGCTTTTTTCACATTACCGTTATGTGTTTAATGACAACAATTATTTGTACAATGTTTCCCGCCTTAACTGACAATTTTTGCTTTTGAAATAAATATATTTCCGCGCAAATATTTAATGGCAATTAATGATAATCAAATTAATAAAACATCAGCGCGTGTAAAAAGTTCAGCCACTTTGCATAGAGTTTTCCCCGCTATTAAATACACTTAATTGACTAATTGGCTGGAATTGAGTGTGGCATGAATGGTCTTTGCTCAATTTGTACACTTTTTGTCGGATACAAATTAGCAAACATTTTAATTTGATTAAATCTGTAATTTGACAATTATACGACTTAAGCGATAAGTGATCGCAGTTTGTGATTAGTTTGTGTTAATTGGAGAGGAATCTTTAGCACTTCATATTATTTGGCATTTAAGTTCATTATTGCTTCAGTAGATTTAGTACATCGCGTTGCGGTAATGCGATCAGGTAACGCTATAGACTATACTTAACTGATATCTAACTTGAGACAAAAAATCCTAATTACAAGGTAGGCCGAAAGGGGCAGCAAACGACACCATATTTTTATACGCCATTTTAACAGGTCTCTTTAGTCTCCAATTTATGGTCGTCAAAAACGCCCTGTCAGATCAACAATTGAGCGTCTAGTGGAAAAATTTTAATCCACAAGCACAGTACAAAATGTTACAATGGCGGTGATTCAAAGAATTTCCCGTAGTGTCGAGAATATTGCTGCCGCTAGCGCAACAACTAAACCAAGAAAGACCCAAATCAATCTCTCAGACGTCGTTCTCAAGCGTTGGGCATCTCAGTGACATCGTTGGGGCAAATTTTGCAAGAGATGCAAGAGGAATTGAAGCCGCATGGCCACCAGAATCGTCCTCTGTTCGTGAATTTTGCTGATCAAAAACTTGAAAACAATCCGGATATTGCAATTACCATTCAGTGAGGTTTATCTCCGCGGCGTCATTGTGCCGTACTTCTTTGATGATGATCTAGACCGACACGTTACTGTGAATGGGAATCGCTACCGTGCAATGATAACTGAACATTTTTGGTCCGAACTGGATGATATTGACTTAGACAACATGTGGTTAAAACAGTACGGCACCACAATCGATTTATTGAAAACTAGTTTTGTTCAACGGGTTATCTCACGAAATTTTCAGTCAATTGGTCGCCTCCGTGGTGCAATATAACGCAGTTAAGACTCTTTCTTGTGGGGCTACGTCAAGTCTGTGATACCAGCCACCAAGCCAGCGACGATTGATGAACTTCGTATGAATATCGAACGTGAAATTGTAGCATTGTTAGCCGATTTATGCTCGAAATTGGGTGCAGCGTCTGTAAGCGTGCCCGTGGTAGCCTTGCAAAATCAATCGAGTTCGATACATAAAGGCATTAAATGTGCTTTCGCAGAAGAATTTCATTGATATCCCATTGTTTTATTTAAGTTTTGTTTTTGTAACGCTCTTATTGAAAAAATCGTTATAATATCAAGGTTTTCTCAGGAACGTCCTATACAAGAGAATATAAAAACCGCTTGTATATCTTGGTACTAGAAAAATTAACTTATATATGATTTGCCAGGCGTACAAAGTTTTACTATCGTTTAACTAGCTAAGGCCGCGCTAGGATCCAGACTTTTCGTATCGTGTTCTAGCACGGAATTGTTTCGTCAAACAGATAAATATTGGTACAACTTTTCAAGCCACATATACCGTTCAACTCTATGTTCCGTTAATAAAAAAAAAAACTATCCATTATTATACCCTAAAGCTTTAGACGAATTTCCTAATATCCAGAAGAAAACGTCGGGTACCCTATCAAATAAGTGATTACCAGGACAGCTGAATCGTTTCTCCCCAAGAAGCTGATCTTTTGTCTAAATGATTTCACAGCACTATAGCGTACTTTTATACTAGCATTGACAAGTTTCATGCCCAAGAGTTGGTGAGATCCTCTACTATCTCTGTGTAATGCAAACACGATGATTTCCAAATACTATTATTACGTATCTTCTATTAGCTAAACCTGAACTATCCAAATATCTGTATCTATATATGTATTCATAAAAAGTCCACACCTTTCATGCCACATATGTATACTTACGCCAAATACAACTACGATTTTATTTAAAAAATAAGCAAAATACAAATGCTCAATTACCATACACATATGAATTAAGTGCTGCATGCCACACACCTGCAACGACTATATCATGTACTGTACCCCGTCACATAGATGGGTAAGCATGTCGTTCACTTAACTTCAAAGGTTATAAACTTTGCGCGCAGAACACAATGGAAGAGCCCTGAAAGTTATACGTAAATTTGAGAATAGTGGCAGCGAGAAGAAGCTGCAACAAACAGGCGGCATACCAAGCAGCATCAGCACAACAAAAGAGTGCAACAACGGTTTGACGGAGACAACGAAGTTATAAGAATGTGCGCCCTAACATATGCAAAATGTCAACGAAAAAATTATTGTTCTTCCTTTAGTTTCTAATGCTTCCACTAGCCTATGGAATAGTATAGTTTGCACAATGGAGTTAGTCATGTGGCACATGTGTTGATGTTTTCCTTTCCTTTTATATCCTGAACAGTGTATATAAAGTTTGGCTTGATGTTTGTAACACTTAAAAGGAAATGTGGGAGACTTTATAAAGTACATATGTATACATTAACTAAATCGAGATAGCTCGGATTTAGCCCCCGTCAGTGTTTGAGATATCCGTCTGATATTTTGCACACTCTTTTCATCAAGAAACTGCTTACTTATCGAAACCGCTGATATCGGACAACTATATCATTTATCTGTCATCCAAACTAACCGATAAAAATTAAGTTCTTCTACATTTTAGTTTGACAAATAAGCTTCACTAAATTTTCCACAAATTATTATCAAAACTAGCAGAAATGGTTCAGATCGGAAAACTATAGCAAACTGTAGCAGCCTCACACTTTTTTATTTGTCTTCTTCTTCTATCTTCACGAAACTTAGCTTGGATTTTTGAGATAAAACTACTTTTATACCCTTTTATACTGTAAAAAAATGCGCCTGTTAAGGGTAGTATAGCTTCTGTGCAGCTGTAGTTAACTTTTTTTCTTGTTTTATCTTTGTTTCGTGTATATTCATATGGTAATCTGTGAATATTTGTATTGCCTTTAGAAAACGTTGAGCTTTTTACTGTAATTGCCCGAAATTGTGGTAAAGTGTGCCATCATCAATCAAGTAAGAAATGTTGCAAGCTGTGTAAGATTTATAAGTGTGCTACAAAGTTTGGAGCAGCTCAGTCTTTCGTTGACCCCTATAGGAAAAGGGGACCTATACTGCAACCAAATTTATGATTTTCGCTTTCCATACAGTTTTCGTTGAATTTACTACGATTCTTATAGATATTCTTTTAGTTTGTAAGAAATCAATAATAACATAAACCTAAGCAAAATTTCATTTTATAGCGAAAATACTTGTTTTAACGGTATTTGTTTACACAGTTTCAAAAAAAAAAATTAATTATTGGTAAAAAGAACTTTACACTAAAGTTTCCTACAAGGTATTACATGAGCCTAAATATATGGGTTTTTGTATTTGACTTGCACTATTTTCCTATATTTATGAGTGTTTTCATTTATTTTGTTTACCATATTTGTATGCAACCAACACAAGGCACTAAGGCATACAAAAACTATTGAAGGATAAAATAAATTATAGGCCACCCAGTATTAAATAGTCATATTGAAGTCAAAATCTTTCGCTCTGTCTGCGATGTCGACTGATTTACTTTGAACAAGGAAAAGACGGACAAAGCATAACTCTAACTCGCATCATCTTTGAAGAAATATGGACCGATGTTTCCACTGGCTCACAAACCACACCAAGCCGTTGCTTTTTCTGGATGAAATGGCAGCTCTTGAATCTCTTCTGGTTGCTCTTCGTCCCAGAGCTGCCAATTTTGCCTCTTTACAGACCCATGGAATCAAAAATTTGCCTCATCGTTTAACAAAATTTGTCCCGAAAACGTTGGATCTACTTTTCCAGACAACAAAGAGCGGTGCTAGGTCGCTTGAAAAGATCGAGCGACTTCGGTTCTTGCATACTTTGTAAGTTTTCAATTTAAGAACTCGACGTATAAAGCGCCAAGTCCTTCTACTTGTATACATAAGTCCGAGTGGCTACGAACGGCACCGAATTGACTGTTCACGGCCCTAATGTACACACTCAGCTACGCCTGTTATATTTTCTTCACTGTGTAATGGACGTGGTTTATTCGATTGTAATATCCAAGGGCTCAGTAGGGCAATTATATTGAACATAAGTTGAGGGAAGCATACGAAACACATTCTGTACAGAACGTGAATTTTCGTTATAAAGTTGAACGATTTAGACGTTATTCAAGCGTAATTCTTTCCGTAACATGACTCACACGTGATCGGTTAAAAAAAAGGCTATTGAAAAAATCCTCTACTTGAATCACGTGATATACTGTAGTATTTCGATTTGAATAATTTCCTCGGAGGTTATATACCATAGTGATTATAGTGTTTACGATGTGTCTTCCTGGATATCATAAACATCGTGGCAAATTTAATAACAATAACAATTTAGAATCATATATATCAGCAAAAGAATATAAGAATCTGTAATACTTGAATTTACTACAAAATAACTATGCTTTATTATTAATAAAACAAAAAATTTAATTACAGCCTATTCTACTGCCGCGCTGTTAGCTATCGTATTCGCCATACCCTTCGGTATGCGCATGCTGGTGCATAAAGATCGCGGACGTTGGGAAGAATTTGGACCCGCCTTTTATACAGCGCATTTGGAGCTTTTTCTCGGTAACGGTTGTTTAGGTAAGACACCAACTATTGCAAAATGTCACTGAAACTCTAATTTATAAAAACATATTTGCAGGTGTGGGTGTTATGATGTTGCTGGTGCTGACCATCGAAAGATATGTCTCCGTGTGTCATCCAGGGTTTTCACGTCCCGTCATGGGACCACCTGGGTGCGTAAAATGCTTGGTTATTTGCGCTCCAAGCTTTTTTACTAACAAATTTTAATTACACTTTCTAGCATTGTTGTGTTCCTAACCACACTCGTCACTTTCATCATTTACACGCCAAGCGTGTTTCGTGGTGTCCTAGTCAAATGTATATTACACTCTGATGGCAACTATGTTTACTTTCGACGTGATAATAATGAATTCCTAAAGACGCTTTTTTACTCGGTAAATGAGCTGAACTTCGACACTAATAGTAACAGCTCAAAAATATTTGTTTTTCTTTACTATAGGTCTACAAAGTAATGCTCGAGGTGATATTCAAACTAATACCGACTGTATTAATCGCGGGTTTAAATATGCGCATTATGTTGGTGTATCGAAAGACTTGTCAACGACGGCGTGAGATGTTGATTTCGCGCTCGAATTGTGTGCGCGATGAGGATCCAAGAAAATTCGCTGAAGAACGGAGGTTATTCTTGTTGCTAGGTAAGTCATACCTAAATATAATAGGCCTAACGTACAAACATATATAGTAAAATAAGGTTTTGTAAGTTAAAGTAAAAATTATCAGCTTGGACCCTTTCATGCCTTTTTAGGTAGTACATCAATATTGTTCCTTGTTTGTGTGTCTCCTATGGCTATTGTTCATATGACGATTGCTTCCGAAGTATTGCCGAACTTTTCATTTCAGGTATGAACATTGTCCCTGCTATCATACTATAAAAATTTGTAAATAAATTAATTTGCCTTTTCTTGCAGGTGTTTCGAGCATTGGCCAATTTAATGGAACTCACAAATTATTCTATAACATTCTATATATATTGCTTATTCAGCGAGGATTTTCGAAATACGCTGATACGCACCATCAAATGGCCTTGGGTTAGAACGAAATTGTGCCATCATGTCGATGAGGTGGGTTATATTACTAAATAAATTAACTTAGTAATCACTTCTCGGGTAATATTTATAAACTTTCTTATAACTTCAAGTAGCCCAACCATTAATAGTAACATATTTGCGATAATTCATTTAGGAAAATTCATATTATGAAGGATCATGGATTGTTGTTCCGACTAGCCTCAATAAATTAGAGTTTTATACTCTTCACGAAAGTACAGCAAAAAGAAAGCAACCGATTGTTCAAATTTCAGAATTCCATCTCTAAGATAACCTCCTAAAATCAATTTTATGTAAGATTGTAAAATAATATGCTACTCAAGTGATTATTATACCCTGAACAGGGCATGTTATTTTGCCGAGAAGTGTGTTCCAGCCAGAAGGAAACATCTGAGGTCCTATAACTTAGACCTGTGCACATATGTTAAATCAGCATAAAGAGCTGCGACCATTTAGATCCAAGGAAATTTTTCTGATCGGACTACAATTCGCGTACACCTTTGAAGACAGTATGCCCCATAAACTTTCAATGGGATTGTAATCTGGCCTACATGTGGGGCAGTCTAATAAATTTATTCCTTTGTCATGAATAACTCTTTAATTCATACAAGGGCTTAAAATTTTACAGAATATTTGGACAAGTAAATTATTCAATAAGGGCACAATGTCTTGTTGCCATCCGTCGACGGCGAGACCTACAAGTTATAGGCTAATTCAGAACAGCAAAAGAGTTTTTCGAAGAACTTATCACGCATAAGTTAAGTCATTATTTACAAAAGTGAAGTGTGCTTAAAAACAAAATATTTATTTTGGTCCTAAGAAGAAAGCAAAAAATATTTACAAAGGAATCGAGGGTTCACTTCGCTTCCTTCGACACATGTATAGCTTCATTGTCTTACTGAAAAAGCTGTCTCTGTTTCTACATTGTTTTCAATAAATCCATCGTCCGGTAACTCTGTATACTTCTTGGAGTTCATTTTTGTAGTAATGAAGCACACCGGCAGCTTATAATAGTACAAGGCACCACATACCATTACAGAACTCCTCCAAAGTTGTGTCTCACTCTTTGGCCATGTTTTTGGCCGGTATCCTGGCAAGAGAAACTGACTGGCGTAATTGGACCACTACCACACCCACAAAACTCTATTAACTGAAAAAACTCTAATTTGACAGAGGGGACTTACCGATTTTGATTAAATTTAGTTCAGGCATTCTTTTCATATTCCTATATCCTACGAAAATTGTCGAAATCGGACTAAAGACACGTCTACTTTCCATATAACGTAATTTTAAATTCCATTTGAATATTTCACTTTCCTGTGTATAAATCAGGAGGCAATTAATACAACGGAATAAAACTTAAGACCAAAAATGATTCAAGTCCAACAAGACTTGTTCAGACAGGTTCCAAATATGTGGACAGTATACTATAGTTAACTTTTGACCGAAAATATTGGTCAATGTATGAGATATATGTCCAATTGAAATTCAGAGAAAATCTTCTCCTGATAATAATATCGCTGCGTATCAAAAATGGATTAAATCGGGTCAATACTTCCCTCAGCCCCCTTATACGTACCTGTTATATATTTTTTCGAAATTCCGGGTGACTTTATACCGCATATATCGCTCAGTATGTGAGTTATCTTAATGGAAATAAGAGCGCATGTTTGCTCATAATAGTGTATATCTGTACGTAAAATAGATAAAATAGGGCCGAAACTTGACACAGACCCCGTATAACTAATATAAAAATTTCCGAGCATTCTGCCGACTTTACTTTGTTGTTTGTTTGTGAGGTACCATATGAAACCCAGGGAAATTTTTTTGGGATATGGTATGTTAATTGTATGTGTTACTGCAAGAATAAATAAAATCGGGTCAATATTACTCCCAACTCTTATATATTGTATATAATGATTTTTGTTATATATAAAAAAACAAGTTGAAAAACTTTGCAAAAATTTATCATTTTTATACCCAAACCGAATTGCATTGAATTAAATGTCTCTTTCAATATTGACTTTTCACACTTATAAAGGTGTCACTAAGAAGAGACGACTTCAATGAGTTCACAGTTAGGACTATAACAAACTGTGATCACTTATAAACTTAGCTATACTACATTTTGAACAGGAAAAATTTTAAAAATTTTTAAAATTTTAACTGCGTTTAATCAAATGTCTATGGCCATAGCTGTCATACAAGCTGAACGATAAGTCCTTGTATGAAAAACGTGTTTACTTGACAAGATGTCTTAACGAGATTTGGCACAGGTTATTATACTAGGCATCGCTATAATCTCAGAAAAAAAATTTTCGAGTCGGACAACGACTTTCTCACAAACTGACCGATTAAAATTAAGCTTTTCTATGAAATACTTTTTATTTGAAACGGTCTCGTCACGAAATGAAGCATAAATTATTATCTGATGCATCACTACAATTACAGAATATATTGTTTATTTCGGACCACTATAGTGTATAGCTGCTCTACAAACTGAACGATTAGATTCGATTGAACGATTGCATTTTCGCACATTTGATTCAAATTTTTTTCTTGTTTTTTTTTTTTATAATTTAACCACTTGAGGCATAAACTTTAAATTATTGACGCCATTTTTCGCCTTACAGATATCAAATGCACGAGCAACACCTTTAATGCATTTCAACAAAATAGCATTACGAAATCACCATATAACGACGACATCGGGCGTGTGTACCGGCATGGGACGATCAAGTAGCATTTGATTTGTTATGCGCATAACATTGTAACAAAAAAATTATAATTATAGGCATATATGTAACTCAACCATTGAATGTAATTATGATAATTCCTATTGAAGTTACAACAAAAGTAAATAATTCAGAATGTAGAAATAAAATTAAATAG